CAGTCTTTGATGGTGTAATTTTATAAAAGAGAAAGGTATGCAGCAGCACTGCAGAGAGAACTGGAAGCTAAGAGTAAAAAAACAACCAAGCTAGAAAAACAACTTGCTGTAGGAATCTGTTGGTGTTTACATGTGACCAAGGGGAAAACTGAGCACAGGAGTGGCAGCCCAGCAGGCTAATGCTGCTGGCAGGCAGAATCAGCATGGCTTTTCTCTGCAGTATTTATAATAATAATCTTCAATAACAGATGGATTTTACAATTAAAAAGACTTCAGAAAGAGACTCGTGCCTCTATCAAACAGCAGTAAGGCAACTGATGTCAACACAGACCACAGCAGGGCTAGTGTTACTCTGGCTGCAGAGGAGGGCTGAAGGATGCAGGACAGAGGAGAGAAAGCAGGACACACACCAGGAGGGCACGCACAGCCTGACTGCAACAGGGCACAGGCTTGGCACATCCTTTGGTGCAAGAGCCAAGCGACTCTGCCAGAATACCGTGCTTTTACTCCACTGCCTAGGCAAGTGGTGCTCAGAGAACAGAAGTACACTCTAGTGTCTGACGACCTGTGGATAAACGCAGTCAGAGCACAGCCAGCTCCTTCTAAGGGCACAAAAATTTTCAGCGGTTTACAAGAGACTGACATGCTTAAAACCACAAGAAGCTCACACCCCAGAGCACAAGGACTATGGCTGATCACCACTTCTTTCACCCCCTGGTTTCAGAGGAGGCTGGGCTCCAGTTCTTTATAAAGGCTACGAAATCAGAAGCGTGCACAACGAAAAAGAGTGTTCCGTGGTGCTCGTGGATCCTTCCTGCACAGCCCTCAGCTGTTAACTTAATTTAAAAGCCCCTGCCTTTCATGCATAAAAACATGGCACTGAAAAGGAGGCGGCAAGCATGACTATCGCAGACTTGGCTGCATGACTCTTCTGTTCTCCCTTTTAAAGGCCGAAAACCCATCCATAAAAAATAAAGAAAAATTAAAAACACATTTCAGGACCAAATTCTTGCTTTAAAAATTCATTATTATGCAACACACTTCAAGAAGTCCAATAAATAAAAAAAATCTGAAGGAAAATAGTTGTTCCCAATAGAAATCAATACTCATGGATTTTTCTGTGCTTGTATTTAAAACTAAAATACATTTATGGCTGCAAGCTATAGCTCACTAGCTCCGTTCACAGCAATTCTGTGATTCTGCTGGGCATGAAAAACCCAGAGCACTGGTCTGGTACCAAGTTGTAACAGAACAATAATCAAAACGTGTGCCAAAGTAAACAAATCTGGATGATCACCAGGCTGACACGGGGTTCCCCACAAAAAAAGACCCTGAGCTCACATCTTGGCACCCACAGACCACACATACACCCCCCCCCCCCCCCCCCCCCCCCAAACAAAAACAACCCTCAAACTTCCAGAATTCTGTGTAATTTTGCTGTGAATTATTTTACAGCCTCTGCAAAGGCAACTGTTTTGTAGTAATTAGCCACTGGAACATTTAACCACAAAACTAGGAATATTATTAGTATAGGGATACTGCAGCCAGATCTAGAAATCTCTAGATGAGGAAACAGCTGAAGTATGAAGCAGGTTAGCTGTGGTTTAGGTAGAGCTGTGGCTTTTTTGGTAGCTGTCTTAGTAAGTGATATAGAACTCCTGTAGTGCAACACAACTCTGGAAAGCAGAATTGAAAATAAAAGACTCTAGAATTCACTTTAATTTCTGTAGCATTCTAAGCTCTTCTGATGTTAATAAAAAGGCAGCACTCCCTGACCTATGAAGAGATTCATCAAACAGCTCTAGAACATGCTAAATGTTCCCCACAGCCCCTACTTGGTAGTTCAAAAAGTTAATTTTGAGGCTAAACAGCCCTATCAAAATTAGATGTATCAAGTCTCAGAGGTACCTTGGTATATCAAATCCATAAATAAGTTAACTGGTCACATATTACATATATTATATCAATTAAGATCATTTTAATGTATATCCAAGCAGCCAACATGGCCACAATAGCCATGGAAAATGCTGAATAATCCAGCTAAAAGAATAAGCAAAAACATGCAAAAAACTTAAGTCCATACCAGAATTATCAGTCGATGCTCCTAATTTGAAAAAAAAAAAAAAAAAATTAAAAGTTGACTTAAAAGCTCATAATCAAATCAGCTATTCAGGGGTTGTTTTCATCATGTTTTCCATTTTAACTGGCTCCTCCATCTTGAAAAGCCATTATTAAATTGCCAAGTGTACAGTAATTAGAGATTTGAGGAGACAAACCAAAAGCCAAGCTTCCAACACTCCCAAGAAAGGATTATATTACAAACATCTTGGTTTACTTTGTCAAGTAGCAAAATGGATTTGCACCTTAATGTGGGTAATAGTATTTATCATTCAGTGAGAAAAAAACATTGCACATTTGGTACATTTTATGCTTTGTAAGTACAGAAGCTGGACATTCCATCAAAGAGATTCCATGGTAAAACTAAGAAGATTAAAAAAAAAAAAAAAAAAAAAAAGTCAAGTTTCAAAGAAATAGGACCAACATAAAAAACACTGCATTAATTTAAGGTAAGACTGCAAGGAGTCACTTTTTCCTACTATGTTTTTGCTTCCACTATTACTTTAAAGGGATACTGAAGGAAATATACTTTTTCTCCCCTCCCAATTCTGCATGAATTGTCATAGCTCTGATAGCATCTCTTTCCTGGACTGGGGTAGAATGCTATTTGAGGGCCAACCATGTTGTGCCTGTTTATAAATCGGGCAGATCTCCTAAGTTCAAAGGGTAAAAGGTGCAATTACCAGGAAGTGCCTCTCAGATGGAACTCATCTGTAGCTTTACCTATTCAATAGCACACACTCTCCTAACTAGTCTGCAGCAAGAACAAACAGAAAACCAGTGGTGATCTTGCACAGGTTTTCGAGGCTTCATTCCTTGGCATCCCAAATCCACGGTTATGTCTCTGAGAAGGATTCTGAGGACGATAGGGTTCGTAAGGTGCCATGTTTCCACCACCCTGTGAGCAGTGAACTGGAGGAGAGCGCCCCTCACTACTGCCAAAACCAGTTTCCCCCCACGCTCCCTGCCAGAGAGGGCAGAAAGAGCTGAAGCTGTTGTACATGATGCAGTGACAACACAGGTAACCAAACTGAACTCCAGCTCACATCCAGAGAATTTCTGCTCCAGCCTGAGCACTACTGTTGGCACAGGCAGGAGAAATAACAGTTTTCTTTTAGAGTCCTAACCAGTATCTCAAATTAAGAGGAAAATTAACTGTAGGAAATAAGGAAGAAGGGAGCTGCCATGAACTTCTGCCTTCTGAAAAATAACCTTCTAGCAAAACACTTGGCATTGATGGCTAAAGGTGGTGAGGGGACAACCCAAACCAGAGACCAATTCCCATGCAAATTCAGGGGCAACTGTCCCCTTCAAAACATGAAGGCAAGAAGGCAGCACTGAAGTTACAACTACTATTAAGTCATTTTAAGGCAAAGCAAGAGACTTTTTTTTTTTTTTCAAAAGCATTTTAACGTGTGTCTTGGATAGGTAGGGAGAAAAAAAAATACAAAGGGAGGGGAAGATGTAACAAAAAACTCAAGACATCCAAATTCACAGCTGTAGTATGTAGACTCTACCTGGCCTCCCTATAGAAAGGGGAGATACTATGACTGGCTGAACAGCTGTTTGTGGGGGAGCTGCTGTTGTGACACTGGCTGGAGTGGAGGCAGCAGAATTTGAGGAGAAGCCTGTAGCTGGAGCAGCATAAACACCTGCTGAGGCTGAGACTGCTGCAGAGTTCACCATCACCTGGAAAAGAGTCAGAGTAGTCAGTAGACTGCCTCTACAAAGAAGTACAAAATCTGTTAATAAGTGTCTTGGGTGGTTTTCAGGGCCTCTGGCACTGAGCCAACATAACTTGCTCTTGTGTCCATGTTTGTTAGCCCAGGACAGGGCTATGCCCCCAGGGCTGCAGGCAGGGCCCACCTCATACCCACTTCTTGTTGGTTTTGCATGTACAGCACAAGTTTCTATCAAGGACAGAGCCTGTGCAGACAGTAATTTGAAAGAATTTCAGTTCATGTGCACAGACCATTCAATGTTTTCTTCCTAAACTTATCAACAAAAACACAGGTAGAGCTTTCCATTGCCCTTCATTCTCATGCTGATAGCTTTTGATATTTTCCTCACAGAAGGCTGGAACAGCTTTATCCCACACAAGACAACTACACTTCTTCAGTCCAGGCTGTTGGATGACTAATTGTCAGGAACATAAACCTTCCAGTGATAAATCACCACTGATTTTCATGTATTCAGTGCTTTTATTTTGTGCTATCAGTGCAAATTAAACACCAAGACTACCACCGTTTGTGCAACAGCTTTCACAAAACAAATCTTGCAAACATATAGCAACATACAACAGATCAAAACAGTATTCTTACACTTCCAAGTCATGAAACCTACGCAGAATGAAATTAGACAGAAAAATACAGCTATTACAAATATGTGAGCACTAGGAGCAAAGAAGTTTTGTTTTGCGAAATCTGAGAAAGCCAACCTATTTCAAACATTTTAATCCTCTAACGACCCTGTTCCCAACTTCTATATGTAGTGGTAATGGCAGCCTATTTCAGTCCTCAAACAAGAACTAGGTGTCTAAGTGTTCCAGTGCAACCCTTCAGAGGTATATGACACAACATTCTTTTAGTGATACTGTATTTTTACATGTTTTATGTAGTCAAATTCAAGCTTCGTGTTCCCTGCGCTGTAGTTTGTGTACACGCCTTTCCTACGCTTTCCTATGTAACTGACTAAAACAACATCCTGTCAAGTCAACTACCACTAGCATAAACCCAAAGAGAAACATGAAATTTGAATGCAGTTTAATCAACTGACCCAGCCCCTTAAGACAGGATAACATTTACAAAACAATATTAACAGAGAGTTGACAATCAAGAAACAAGAGAAACCAAGGGCAAGAATTGAGCTTATAGCTCACAGATTTACATCCCTTGAGGCACATCATGAGGTGCAGGGTTAGGTGAGGCAATATAGCTGACTTGGTGCAGTGGTCCAGAACTTACAGCATTAGCAATTTGTGGAGAATTTCCATATGGTGGATTTACTGGATGCCAGCTACTAATATAGCGATAGGCAGGTACAAAAGAATCAAATCCAGGAAGAGATTGCTGGCTGAAGGGATCCGACACGATTGGGTAATATATTGGCCCGTAGGGCAGCGGTGGAGGCTCTGCAGTTTGAAAGTTACCTTAAAAAACAGAAAATACACACACTTACCATATTTTATCATATCTATGGCCTTTTCATGCAGGCTTTCATTACCATGAACATAGCATTATTTTGGTGGTCAAAACAGAAGATCAATTTAGATTACAGTTTTATACCCATATATGTCCCTCCTAATGGAGGGATCAAAATAATTTTGGGTCCTAAGTTAGACCAGAGGACAATTTGCTCATCTTCTTACTAAACCCTGTTCAAGAATTGCTTATCAACGTTCTGCACTGGAGTGGCAGTTTCTTCAAGGGGGTTTGGGTAAAGAACTAATATTTTTCCCTTATTTGATCTCTGACCATATGACACTGATCTATGCAAAAGAACTACCCGAGCTGAACAGGCTGAAGCATTATCAGAGCAATAAGCCTGTATACCTCTGAGCAATAGTTCTGTTATGATCCACTCCTTCCAACACTGAATGTTTGCACTATTCCATAGATTTTAATGAACTGACCTTTTTGATGTCTTTTTCCTCATGTAATACAATCTTCCTATTCACTGCCAAATGTATCTACAAGCTTGTTACAAAGATGCTAGGTGAAACTAAGTTTTGCTATAAATCTTAGGCACAGTAAGAGATGCAGCTAGCAATAACTCAAGAGATAATAGCTCAGAATGCTGAGCCTAAAACCAAGGTTTGCAGCATCTTCCTTTTAAAAATTCCTGTGGAGTTGAAGTATTGATGCTCAGTGCTTGCCAAAACTCAAATGTCTCCTCTACATTAAATTACAGGTGTTCTGTTTTGATACCATGACTATTTGCTTATCGATAAGCAAAGAGATTCCTTCACAGTCTTAGGAAAAAGTTTGCCCAAATTAAAGTTAGCGTACTTAGTAAAGGCCTAGAAAGGATTACTTCTCCCTTTTTATGGCTTTAGAAAGCACTTGACACAATGGTGGCTACATCAGTGACCCTGATATACTTTAAGTAGTACCAGAGATGGCAGAGGAACTTCTGATAACCCCTTACAAAGCTTTATGTCACCCCAATCTCAAGCTTCTCAGAGTACCAACGCTGCAGGCACACAGCTCATACGGAGCAGTCATGCTCTGAAGACCTATTCTCCCTTGCCTCTCACTAGTTGTGTATGGGGTCTCATGCTCAAATACTAACCATTTGCAGGTGCTTCCAAGGGAACCTGGTGGACTTCAGGTCGCCCAGCATCAGTGTAGAGCTGAGGTACGGACTGATCTAGGACAGGAGCTGGTTCAGCATATGCTGGATAAACTTCCACAGGTGATGGTGGCAGCACTGGCTGTACATACACCATGGAAGGCCAACAGCTCTGATGATAATACTTTGAGAGAAGGGGGGAAAGAAAAATACAGTGTCACACATGTAAACACGTACCCTCCATCCCTCCTCCAAATCACTACTAGTTTCAGATCTGAAGTTAGGAAGAAGGGTATTTTTTCCTTCCCAGCCCCTTAAGATACTACACACACAAAAAACCTCAATACAGCCCATCAGAAAAGATATTGCAATACCTGCAGCAATAGTCACCTCAGTTCCACAATGCTGTTGTGTCAGAAATCTTTACAGAGAAAGAAGATTCCCACCTATCAATTTTGTCATATTCAAAGAGATCTTTCTTATTTTTTCAGTTGAAGAAGCTGATATTACAACTTCTTTTACTTCCCTGAGCAGTAGCACTGACACTGCATGCCTGCTGGCACAGAGACAACTCTTCAGCAGAGCAAGAGTTCTCAGAACACAGAGAAATGGTGCTAACCAGTCTGAACACAGTTGTACAAAGTCCTAGGAGACTCAAACCACACGTCTCTAAATGGTCTTTGATGTCTTGTGTAAGTACACAAATTTTCTTAAGAATGGATCAGGTTCCTCCCCTTATCTTCATAGAAAAATATTTATCCACCTTCCTCCACAAAAACAAACCCAAGACACCACCACAAAGTAAAACAACTGAACATACATACTAATGTGCCTTACATCTTGAGTTAGAACTTCACTTCCTGAGCTATACTTTCATCTCCACCACGCAAGCCTATACATATTAATAGTCAAGTGCATAGTGCACACATTTAGCACACCTGGAAGTCTTAAATACATCAGTACTTTTGTCAAGAAAAACAGCAGTTTTTACAGGCAATTTACTCATTTTAAAAGCACTTACTTGCAATCCCAGATTAAAATAATACCGCAAGACCTTTGTATCTGAAATTAAAGGATATGACATTAAAGAACAGAAGAATATAAACCAAAAAGTAAAAGAAACTTACACACATTAAGAACATTTTAAGTTACTCTTAATGAATTTTAACACTAGTATTTTAGCACTACTTTTCCTTTAAAGTTTTGAGCGTAAATAATGTATCTTGAATATAATTAGTTGTTAAAACTAGTTTATCTTTTTGAGTTAATCCACTTAGATATTTGTGCAATAGTAGAGCATATCTGACCAACTTGCTATCAGACTTCAATTTCATTACCTTTAATTTTGTTTTATTCATCTTGATCTTCTCACCTAGTTTTGGGGATCCCTCCAATTGCTATACCAAGTCAGAAAATGGAGGTGGGGGAGGAATAAGGAATATGTTCCTTTCCTTCCCTTCCTCGCAAGGGTACTCAGTTCCATGCTTTCTTGCAAATAATCTTTTACTTCTGTCTTCCGTGTACTGAATTATTTGCCCCCAGGCAAATGATATGCTGAAGCAACCTCAGATGCGTGGAGGAACTTTGAAACCACTCTCCAAAAACAACAGGGTTTTGAACCTGGAAACGCATTTCCAACTGTCTAAATACAGTGAAGTAGTTTTAAAACTTTAAAACTGACCATTGAAAGGAAAACAGAAAGCACGTTTTAATTCGATGAGGCAGTTCTGGAACTGTGTATGAGAAATGGCTGATTTCTCAGATTCAAATACAGATTTGTTTTAAAGGCTCAGGAAGAACAAGTCACCTATTCCACAGCAGTAGGTTTCTGTGTGTATGCACACACATGCACTTTGCTTTAGTACTGCTGGGAAACAAAATGGAAAGCAGGGAGACAGCTCAAAAGGAGCAAGCTATTATGAGCTTCAACTTAGCAACACCTCCAGAGTCACCATCTTCTCACCACCTACCCGCTTCCCCCTAGACCAGGGCCTCAGCTCTGCACTGCTTCCCTGTCCACCCATCTACCACACAGGCACGCTTCCCCAGCCCTGCTCCTCCATGGTACTGCCTGCTGTATTTTGCTGCAGATAGGCACAGCATCAGAAATTTAAAACTCCAGTCTTGAAATGCATGACGATTTGTTCCTCTGTTGCTGAGGCCAATTATAAACTTTTTTACTGTTCAGCAGATTTGATCAGGGCAACAATCCACGCAGCTATTTTAGGAAGCGCATACAGATCCCTCCTTACGTCTAACAGCTGTAAGCTCACTCCTGAAAGTGCTGGTGATTTGGTTGTGACATTGACCACAGTCAGTAAAATATTAAAAATAACCCAACGGCTCACAGCATCTAGCTGAAACTGCATCTACATTTGGAACAAGTTGGGTTTTTTTTAAATCTGTTTGTTCTTCAATTGTTTATGCAAATCTATGCAAAACAAGCCTGAATGAAACAGCTGCTTCATAACAGTGGTAACGGTACAAAAGAAGAGCTGGGAGACTGAAGTGACAAACTGATACTGGAAATACCAATGTCTGTGGAATGCTGGAACAGAAGCCAGTACAGTAGGAGATCAGTTTTTGTTTATATTCCTCTTTTTGATATCTAGAAATCAAGTCAATCTTCAGTAAAACATGACTACCTTACGAAGCAACAGCTAAGCCAAAAAAAGTTAACCACCCTGACATGAAAACCATGTTGACTACTAGTAAGAATCTCTCTCATCTTACAGTGCCTCAGGACAAAAAAATCACAATAAAGTTTTTACTGTGCTGATGGGAAGCTCTGGTCAATCCTGAACACTACTGCAGTCTCTGGAACACAGCAATATCAAGTGGTCTTTTATCAACAGCTCCTTCAAATACAAGGGAGCAGGCAAGGATAGGACACCCAAAGTCATCATGTTAATAAACACATGTCACAAGTCCTAAGCTTCATAAAAAAATATCCAAGAGACTCTGAAAATAGGAACACGTGCAGATGTACCAAGTAATACTAGGGCATATGACAGGTTTTCCTTCCAAGTCCAGAACTTGAATATGTTGACAAATCACACTCCCAATCTATACCAGGCCAAATACCAGGCCTTTAAGTATCTTTAGAAAGTTCACAGAGCTCTAGGTCAAGTATACCCACATATTTCACCCTGCACTGCTCCAAAGCTTCTGGATTTCTTAACTTAAAGCTCGTATAGACTATCCTACAGCAGTGTGACAACATAAATGCTACATGCAATTCCTTATTAACTATCAACCTTAAGATCCTTCAAAAAAAATTTGTAGAGTTTATGCCTAGAAGGACATGACCAGTCACTCCACATGGAGTGACTCAGCTGAAGAGCTACAGGCAGGTTCTGAAAAGGTTATTAATCCACATCCACTCCAGATTCTTGTCAGCATGCTTAACACCCAATTCTCCCAAGTGCTGAAAGCCTCAGTTAAGAGCATTCAACTAAAGCTGAAAACCATGTGTGAAAACCTCATGTGTGCATAATATCATCTGGAGTAATACTACTGCAGCAGGGAAGTGGAAAACAGAATAGTCAAGATTAACAAAACCAGGAATTGAGAGCACCTGCAAGAGAGCAGAGTTACTGCAGAGCACATGAGCAGTACTGTGAAAGCAGCAGGACTTTGAGCAGCCATGGCATACTGATCTGGAAAAAGGCAGGTTCCAAAACAACTTCTGACAAGACACGCACATTACAAGGTAAATGCAACCAAAAGAATCCATAGCATTTCAGCCCAGGTTGTTGTGCAACCTACCAGATGTAGCTACCTGTAGATATCAAGAGTAGTGCTATCTTATCTGAAATTAGCCCTCTAGCGTTAGTACACTGAGGAAAGTCCCCCACAGGGACAACAGAGCTACTACAGATAGCAGTACGTTGAACCAAACGTAGAAACAATTGGTATTACTAAAATATTTTATGCTCCATCTTCAAATAATAGATTTTGGAATAAAAGGCAAAAGCTTTACATTCTGATACAATAAAAGTTACAACTGCCATGCACCTGAAAGTGTCAGTTACAAGGATGGTTTTTTGTGGGGAAAGGGAAGGGAGGAAATCAAGTCAGACAGTTATAGTGAAACTACACTTTTCAAAACAGTGCAAAAAGCGCACTTCAATTTCACTGACCCTGCACATATACAGCCAGTTCTTCCTCTCACTCATCCCTGAATGAAAGGCTACTCTCTACACCAGAGAACATGGGAGATTCAGGAACTTCAAGTAAATGCAGCAAGTCTGATAAATTCATGTCATCTGCTGTATCTATAGATAGCTATTAGATAAGTCAGCTATGATGCACAGACTTTCAACATACCCAGTGTATGGTGGGGATATTTAAACAGTCTACATACTTCAACCAATGTACAGGAGATATACCCACTACTTCAACAACAAAAACGTAAACAGCCAGCCAGTTTAGCCATGCTGTTCTTCAGAGTACGCTACAGCATATGTCTAGCTTGGCTTCACTACTGCCAAAACCAGCTTCCCCCCACGCTCCCTGCCAGAGAGGGCAGAAAGAGCTGAAGCTGTTGTATATGATGCAGTGACAACACAGGTAACCAAACTGAACTCCAATTCATATCTAGTGTATTTCTGCTCTTGTCTGAGCACTACAAATTGGGACAAGATGAATTTTGCTATCAAGAGGACAGGCAGCCTGAATAACAAAGTTTTCTTTTACAGCCCTTCTAAGTTTTTAACCCTTAGTGCAGTTTGAGCCAACGCACTGTCAAAAGACTGTGCAAGGGGACATGCGGAGGGTAGAGCATTTTCTACACCTGTCCAGAACTACACAAAATCAACAATCCTTATCAGCTAAGACAAGACACTGCATCACAGAATAGTTTTATCTGCCTCTTGAGATGTGTGCAGTGATGCAATGCTTGCACGCTTGGGCATCACAGCATACCCTATCCAGTGAAAACCAAGTTACATAGCGTAACAGCAAGCAGTATGTTATTCCTGTAGCTGCAAGGCACTTAGCTTGCGATAAGGACAGCAGACAGCTTGACCTTTAGGTTATTAACACTTTTAAAATGAAGTCCACATTCAGCCTTTAAAGCTGAAAGCTGTTTCTGAGCTGCTCTGCTGGTAGGTACTATATTGGTCTTTGCATACTTCTTGCTCAATAGCTGAAACATACCTTAAACACTGTCCTAACTGATGGCAGTACACGAAAAGGCTGTGCATCCAAGGAACAAGATGACCCTACGCTTTATTCCCAGTTTATAGATACCACAGAACCACATCTTGGATCCATAGAGGAAAACAACACGATATCCCTCTGAACTGTGCAACAGCATGACTTCATAGATACACAGGTTGTTTTTTGGGTTTGGTTGGTTGGTTGTTTTCAAATCACTTATCAGAAAAATTATTACTCCACCAAGAACCAGTATGATATAGGCCAAGCACCCTCTCCCTTGGTACTCATTTCTTTAGGATGCTGTCTAAACCTGCAGTAATCACATATTTGAGCTAGATATGAACTTGCTATTGAGAACTGGGAATTAAAGCATTTTTAGCCTAAGTATCCACAATATTATTTCTCACTCCCTGTGAGCTTCAATTCTCACTATAGGTATTCTGTTACGTTTTCTTGCAGATCACAAGTCAGAAGCATGTCAAAGACCAGCAGCAACAAAAACACAAAATACCATAATTACCTCGAGGCAGATCACTGCCACTGGGATCACAAGAGTAAGGTGGAAGAACAGCACCAGCTTCTCCCACCTCACTGACCGGAGGAAGAGGAGCTGAATAAACTGGGAATGGCACTGAAGAAACTGCTACAATTAGAAGGAAACAAAAGTCAAGTCATATTTGCAATGGTATGTCAAATGAGCAAGATGCTAAGTTACACAATTAAGCATGCACTACTTTGTCATCGTAGTGCCCCTAAATACAAGCTTTAACAAAGTTCTCTTTAGTAATTGCTTTAAAAGTCCAGAAGAAGTTTTAAAACCAGATGAGGAGTTTCCAGTCTCACCAGCCTTAACCATATGTCTATTTGCAAGCTTCATATTCCAGTTAAGAATAAATGTCTTTTTCAACCACTTCTCCATACTAGAGGGCAGGCCAGACTTTCTTTACATAACTGGCTGTCCTAGAACAACAAGGAACAGACTAATCACTAAGTCTTCAGAAGTGTGACAATAAGCCAACAAAAATATGGGAAGTTCAAGACATGTCAGGCCAAAAATATTCTGGCTAGACCACTGTTAAATGTACATCAGGTGGCGCACACATCTAGCATGGCAGCAGGTTATTGGTACCAGCATCAGCAAGTAGACACTTCAGAGAGCTATGCTGACAAAACTCTCAGAGCAGAAAAAAACAAACCAAGGAGAAAAACGGAGAGGAAAAAGGAGACAGAATTGCACAGAATTGAAGGTGGAGGTTTTTTTGGATGATGAATTTTTACAGAAGACACGAGAAGTACTCTTTATAAGATGGGAACAGGTTGCCCAGGGAGGTTGTGGAGTCTCCTTCTCTGGAGACATTCAAGACCCGCCTGGACACCTTCCTGTGTAATTTTGTTTAGGTTCCTGCTCTGGCAGGGGGATTGGACTGGATGATCTTTCGAGGTCCCTTCCAATCCCCAACATTCTGTGATTCTGTGATGTGTCTTGGATAGGGAGGGGGGAAAAAAAAATACAAAGGGAGGGGAAGATGTAACAAAAAACTCAAGACATCCAAATTCACAGCTGTAGTATGTAGACTCTACCTGGCCTCCCTATAGAAAGGGGAGATACTATGACTGGCTGAACAGCTGTTTGTGGGGGAGCTGCTGTTGTGACACTGGCTGGAGTGGAGGCAGCAGAATTTGAGGAGAAGCCTGTAGCTGGAGAGGCTGAGAGTGCTGCAGAATTCACCATCACCTGGAAAAGAGTCAGAGTAATCAGTAGACTGCCTCTACAAGTGGCTTTGTCAAAGACTATGGAAATATCCATAGTTCCAAGATTCTCACATCATATAAATGCATTTTGGAAGTCCTAGCTGTAAAGGCAGGTAACTATCCCAGTTCTCTAAAAATTGGCTTGAAAATACCAGTTTAGAACTGCAGACACCTGCAAGGCATCTTGTCACCCTTCTGTTTTGTTTATATTCACAGGTAATTGTATTCTTTGCTACAAGATTCTGTAAGAGGCAGGTAGAGGGACCTCACAAATTGACACTAACCAGAGTGGTTACCTCTCCACAAGGATACCACAATAAAGTACTGGATACTACCTTCTGAGGATAGCTGTAGGAAGCCCCTCCATCTTGAGGTGACACAGAGACTGGCCCTTCTTCCTGAAGGGATTCCAAAGCAAAGTATGGTCCATTTAAGAGGCAAAGATGTCACAAGGCAGACACACCACACCCCTAAATATTTTTATTTATTTATGGATTATATACACTCAGAGGATCTCCTGCAACTCAAGTAAAAGCGGTTTTATACGGCTTTCAGACTCATTCAGTAGGTGATTAAAGATTTAGTTTCAGATTGAAAAAAAAATAAAAAAAAAATCCCAAAGTCAGTTCTATTAGAGGTGAGGAGACACCTCCAGTCCCACAGTGGAGGAACAAGACTAGCTGGAATAGGACCTGAAAGGTAGCACGACAGAAAAAATTGCTGTCTGGAGCAGAAAAGTAAACACCACTCAAATACACGCTTTCTCTTTGCAGAGGGGAAGGTGGAAAAATCATTAACGAATCTGGTACAATTCAGTCTGTACTTGCAGACTCAGATAAAAACCTCACTATTCAGGGAGGAAAAGGGGGGTAAATATATAAACAAAGCCATGATTCTTTTTTTCCAAAAGAAATCTCTGACCTACTATGTTAAGCCTGCATGCAAGGACAGTTTTTATGGAGAACCCCACACACTTCAGGAATTCCTAATCTGAACAGCCAGTGAACTAAAGCTTACCAAGTTTGCTGTAGGTTCTGCTGAACTAAATACTGTTGCGGTTTCACAGTCGGAATCTGGAGGGCATAGGCAAAATTAATTTTAAAAAGTAGCATTAAATCTAGTCCTTCAGAATCTTATAAAAAGGCCATAATGAGTGTCTCACGGAGTGTTCTATCAATAAAGACTAAAGTTTTACTTACCTGGAGGTACATAGATATATTCTTCACTAAATTTCCCTACAAGGGAGAGAACAGGAAGATTCAATTCAGGAGGAAAAAAAAAAAAACAACAAAAAAACCAAACACCAACTTGCAGCTGAAGTTACCACCATTACATTTCAGTGCATCCATTAAGCTGCTTTCAGTATCATCTTGTTTTGTGCAGAAAAGGTAGAGAAACACTCAAGATATGCTCAATTTGTTATTCCAACTATCAAAGTTGCCATTACCAAATTTACACCATGCATTTTTAAGCACCAACTTGGCTTGCTACAGACCTATGCAAACACAAGGGTGATGGCATAGCAAGCTTAAACAAAAGTGACACATTTCTATCGTGTATTAACAAACATGTTCAAAGTTCACAACAAACAGGTATTTAGGAGATGTAAGGAACCTGGTTTGACAATCAAAGCACACTGAGGACCCTCTAAACCTGTCTTTCCCCTTCACCTGCTAATCCTTTACTAACTCACCATTTTCATTTGTTTCTTCTTCCTCCTCTGAGGAATTCAGAGTCTGCTTGCTAGGTGGAACAGAGTTTGGGCCTCTCCTTGACACCCAAAATCCTGCTGGACTGTGGACAATAGAAGCAGGGCTGCCCTGGGTCTAAAAAGTAAAGTCAGAAGCGTGCGTTTAGAAACAGTATAAAGTCTTTCCATAATCTACACACACACACAGAGCAGAAACAGGCTGGCAGACCAAGCTTGCTGCAACCACAACTTACTAGAATTATCATTTTTGTGTCTATTCCTAAGTACTTTGATTGCAGCAAAACAATTGTGGGCCTGTGGGCAGAAGACCTTTTCTTCTGCCTAAGATACTTAAGATAATCTACTTTTGAAGACCTACCACTGTCCTATGCAATACAGTCGAGTTGCTCCCTCTCAGAACTCAGCCAGATTTATCTCAACCTCCAACAAAGCTGAAAAGGAGGGAGCAGACCCCAGACAACAGCCAAGACTGCTACCCCCCATATACACTCCTGCCTGATCCTGGAGCATTCCCACCACACCAACAGCAGACCAGTTCATCCAAGTACTCTAATTATCATGGAAAAAGGTTCTCTTTAGTCACAATCAGTGAAACTCCTGCGTGGCTGCTGGTATAGACACCACTGTCTGCACTAACTTGACCCACACATGCAAGCCTGACTCTTTCAGAGAGCAACACCCATCACGGTTTCCCACAGGACTCCTTTAGGATTTCACAGGCCCTTTGTCTTTGCACTGTCCTTAGCTGCACCACAATTTAAAATATATAGAGTTCTCTGCAGAAGGAATATAGGAATGAGATGCTGGAGTAAGAGAAGTTCATTCACTCTTTCATGATGGCTAAGGTGACACTCAAAATTCTCCTCGGAAGAAATGGTGACTATGAGATCGATAAAGTGCTCAGAGAGGCTTGTAAGATTTCCAAGGTTGAAGCAGAGGTGGTAAGTCAGAAGATTCTCCCACCAGGCCTCTAGTAGGATGGCGGAGTTCTGTGAGATGCATCTTTCCCCAGGAAATGTTATATTCCTTTACTAAACAAGACAAGGAAGAGAAGAGAAAAGGCTTTGGCATTGACAATAACAAAGTCACTGAATGAACATGAAAAACTATTCATTAGGAGCTGCAGGTGTAATGTCTAGCAATGGGGATGAAAAGCCAACAAGCTATATTGATTTTATGTTGGAAAAAAAAAATTGCAGGATAATCTGCCCTTATTCACTGACACTCTTGGACAAAAAAATCAGAGCAAAGATCTAGCACGTGAGGACAAATTAAAAAATGGCTGCTGCTGAAACAGCCCTGAGCAGATTCCCTCTCTCTCATTTAAATACAAGTCTAACATTTGTTAAATTCACTGCCTCAACACAGTAAATTTAAACCTACTAGGGTTTTTTTTAAAACAGATCTGCTTTCCTACTCAGATACCTAAATATCAATTGATTTTTTTGTAGCATATCCAGCTTTGTACTAGGCTTAGACTACAAATAAAAGAAAAAGATTTATTTTAAAGATTAAGAATACACTGTGTCACTTCATCTACAATCCCACAGAAAGACTGTTTTAAGACAAGTCTAGATTTAGAATTTTTGCCTGTTTCTGTAACTGAAGAAACTTTCAGGAACAACATGCTAGCCCAAAACAGCACTAACTACAAATTCATAGGAACAATCCAGGCTATCAATATGCAGATTCTGAATCTAGTTACATAAACGATAAATTACAGTGTGGCAAACAAGTGAAAAGCTTTCTCCCACAATATTTAGAGCTAGACAGACACCCACAGTAGGAATGGATTTGTTTCCAAACTGCAATAGAAAGGAGAAACATGACCCTACTTTTATGAAAATATACTAAAAAGAAAATTAAGTGCTGCCAGTGAGGGGAGGGAGAAAGACAAGAAACATTTAGAAAAACTGAAGTTTTACGCAGGCTTTACAGGATCTATACTCATTTCAACCTTCCCTTCTCAAAAACATATTCACTGCTAAAGCTTACTCCAAGAAAAAAAAGACAATATTTAGGCAAAGAAGTGCTGCACATTTGTACAGCTTTTCCCTCCCTCCTCTCTCTCTCAGAGAAGTTTTAACATACCCCTTGTTCATAACTTACTGGTAAGGTAGGAAAAGTAGTGTCATCTTCTCCTTCAATTTCATAGAAAGTTATAGTTTCTTCTGGTTCTTGAGGCTCCTCTCCATTCCCTGGTACATACCCATACTGGCATTCCTTATTCACACACTGCATCTGATGGCGGCTACGGCTGTATGAGCTTTAAAAACAAGAAAAGAGGTTAAGAATCACCATTATCTGGAGTTTCACCTTGATTTCATTGCTCAATTTTAACTCTGCTCTTTTTTGAGAGGCACAATAATCCCACTGTTTCGTACTGTGCCATTAACAGCCAACTCAGCCCTCCACATACCACCATCCTCCCAACTCTTTTAGAGCAATGTTTTGTAAAGAGGTTTATATTAACTTACCAGGACCTGCAGGAGAAATTGTCATAGCTCTGATAGCATCTCTTTCCTGGACTGGGGTAGAATGCTATTTGAGGGCCAACCATGTTGTGCCTGTTTATAAATCGGGCAGATCCCCTAAGTTCAAAGGGTAAAAGGTGCAATTACCAGGAAGTGCCTCTCAGATGGAACTCATCTGTAGCTTTACCTATTCAATAGCACACACTCTCCTAACTAGTCTGCAGCAAGAACAAACAGAAAACCAGTGGTGATCTTGCACAGGTTTTCAAGGCTTCATACCTTGGCATCCCAAATCCACGGTTATGTCTCTGAGGAGGATTCTGAGGATGATAGGGTTCGTAAGGTGCCATGTTTCCACCACCCTGTGAGCAGTGAACTGGAGGAGAGCGCCCCGAAGGAACACTGTGCTGTAGCCGGGGTGGAAGAACTGGCTGACCCCTGCTATAAGTCACAGTCATAAAGACTTCCTTTCCACGAACTTTCTTAAGCATTCTCTTCCGTGTTCTCATATCCATTTCTGCAGTTTCAGTTGAGGACAGAAAAGACAGATTTACACCTTGAACAGCTGACTCCAGAGCTATGTTCTCTTCATCATTTGAGAAGAGTCGGTATTTGGACACATGGAAGAGTGAGCCAATGGCCTATCCCAGTAAAAGTGCATTTTAAGTATGCACACTATGTCCTTATTTTGAAGGTTCAAGAGTACACTATAAATCACGAGCATCTCACATGTGATTACCTTCCCAACTTCAGCTGATCAAACCAGTGCTCTCACTGTTAAAATCTCTTTATGAAGGCTGCATTTGTTTATATTAAAGAATTTCTCCAAATTAACCAAATACAATCCGTATTGAATTGGCTGGGGAAGCCCTAGTCTGTCCACGCATCTCTGCTAAGGCCAGATCAGACAAGCTTTTTGGTTCACAGACCCAGTCTTTACACATGGTTCTCAAGTGCCAAATTTCCTCTTGGTAGCTTTGAGCAATACCAACTTTGCTATGCATTTTCTTTTGCAAAGGCAAATTCATCCCTCTGTCTGAAGGATCACTGTACATCAAACCCGTGCAGTGACCAAGTTTTGTATCGCTGGCTGAACTGAATCACTTCCAGTATCCAAAGGCCGCTACTGTTAATACTGTCAGGAGTATCTCCCCCACTCTCCCCTGGCCCTAAGGGAAGGAATGCTTGTGGAAACCTTGTACAAACCTATTCCTGAGAAGTATCCACCTGTTATTTTTTGATAGGCTCCTCCTTTTCGGTTGGGAACCATATTCCAAGCAAGGACAGGCGCCACTTGTGTCACTGGTTTTAGGTTTGCCAAAGGAACTGTATGCCTATATGAAGAACACTGATGTTAGCAGTGCCACCAGATTACACTGTGCATAACTGCACAACAATATAAGCTGGAGCAATGCTAAGACAGAAGAAAATAGGAAAACCCACAAACTTAGAGTGTGGCTTG